TGTCACTGTGTCTGAGACCGTCCCTGTGTCTGAGACAGACCATCACTGTGTCTGAGACTGTCACTGTGTCTGAGACCGTCACTGTGTCTGAGACCGTCACTGTTTCTGGGAACATCACTGTTTCCCAGACTGTCTCTTTCTGAGACTGTCACTGTTTCCGAGACTGTAACTCCTACGAAGACTCCTCCTCCTCCTGCGGGGCTGCTGGTGTTTGATCTGTTAACTTTGTGGTTAGCTGCCCAACACAAAGCCACGATGCCACCAGGCTCCCAGACCAGCCTTGCGGGGTGGGCGGTGGGGGTCAGAGCTCATAGCCTCCGGATCAGGATCACTGCCTGAATCCTATATCCTGTACACAGAGCAGCCTGAGTGAATTGCAGGTCACAGGCCAACCTGGGGGTGGGGCGCCCTGTCTGAGGTGGCAGGTCACTGACCTAGTCCTGTGGCATGGGGATGCACCACGGAGAGGCACAAGGCTGCTCCAACTCCAGCGTCCACGACATTGCCTCCGGCCACAAGCAGCTCCCGGCCCATGGCGGAGCAGGCCTCTACATCAGGGAAAGGGGCATCAGAGGGGTAGTGGGACCTGGGGCCCACGGACCTTTCCCACCCTTCCCTGTCCCCAGCACTGACCAGCAGGGCTGATGATGGCACTGTGGTGGTACACGCCCGGGAGATGGGAGTGCCCGGTGGGTGGAGGGCCCATGGAGTCCAAGCTTTCAACGGATCCTCTGCTTGCCTGGAATTGCCATGCTGCCAGGGAGAAGCCCACGGCCAGCAGCAGCAGAGCCGCCAATATTCGGGACCAGGCTTCCAGGAGGCTACTGGCCTTGTACCTGGAGAGAGGGGTGTCCTGAAGCAGGGGTGCGCGGAGGAGGGGCACCTAAGAGCCCACAGAGACTCCGGGACAGGCTTTCAGTGGGATCTGATCTGACCAGGGAGAAAGTTTCCAGCATGAGGGCACTGCCCGGACAGAGGCAGAAACGGAGGACAGGGAGGGAGGGAGGGGTATGGGGGAGGAGGTTGGAGAGGCGAGATGGAGCCTGCTGGGTAGAGGCCTGGCAGAGAGGCGCAGAGGCCTAGGAGCCTGTGCAGTGAAGCGGGGCCCAGCCCAGCAGAGTCAGGCTCCAACCTGTTTAGCAGGTGCCTCCTGCTCCAGGGGTGGGGCTGGGACCCTGTGACTGGGGAGGAGGCTGGGGCTGGCTTGGTCCAAATGGCCTTTCAGTCTCACATACCTCTGTGAGTCTATAGCCCAGGCTTTTCTCCCTTAGCCAGAAGGCACTTGGAGCTGAGTATGGGCTTGCCAAGGCCCCCTCCTCCACCCCCACCCCACACAGGAGATTCCAGGGAGAGGGACTCCCTAGCTTCAGATAGGACCTGCCCGCTCCCCAACTCACCCAGAGAAGTGCTGGAGCCTCCAGGGATGGGGGACCAGGGGTTCTGAGGTCTCCCCCTCTTGCTCTTCTTCAGAATCCAGGTATGACTCCCAGAGGAGCAACTGCTGGTAGTGCACGGGCCCTGCCTCCCGGTCCATGGTCACCCCAGCTTCCTGCCTGCTAGCCCTCCCAGGGGAGTCTCAGGAGGCCCGTCCCATGACAGTGGGTGGGGGTGGAGGCGGCCTTGGGGAAAGGTGGTGGTAGAATGGAGAACAGGTCTGGGCAGGGCGTGGGGCCAGGGAGACCAGGCATAAGCCTGGCCCCATAGGGCCCGGGGCTCAGGGTGCTCTCCCACAGGGCCACAGCACAGTCACTGGCCTGGCTCTCCCACAGGGCCACAGCACAGTCACTGGGCTGAGTCACTACCTGCTGGCCTGGATAGTGGGTCTTGACTTGGGGCTACAAGCACTATGTAGCCTGGCCGGCACTCAGCATGTGACTAGGTTTCAATATGGGTCTGTCTGGGCTAGGGCTAGGGCTAGGATTAGGTCTTAGCATGAGGCCACTCCAAGCTCTGGGTTTCCCTGCTTGGGAACAACTTCAATTCCTGCAGTGGCGTCTGGATGGCCGTATGTCATGTGGCTCTTCTCCCGTAGGTGGTGCTATAGATCCCCATGGGGGTGTTCCACCCGGAAACCACGATAGTCCTCCCTGCCCCCCAAAACCCCAAACCCAAATCACTGCCATCGAGCTGCTCCCGACTCCTAGCGACCCTATTCCTCCAAACGGGGTTCTCATTAAGGATCTGCTCTGCAGGAAAATCACACAGCGCCCCCAAACAGCACGTGAGTGAGCTGCGGAAGCCAGTCTTTTTATTCGTTCAGCAGTCATTACTTGGCCGACGGCCACCCTTGGCCGTGACCATCTCCCACCTTCTCCACTCTCCAACACCAGGCCCCTCCGCCTTCACACAGATGCACCGAGGCAGGCGCCCGGAGCTGCCAAGGTTCTAGCGCCAACGGCGATGCCAGCGTCTCCCACGCTGCTCTCTCCCGCCACCTATCGCCCTGGACCGGCCGCTGCAGGAGGAAAACATCCCGCGCTTCTTCCCGGTCTGAGGGTACTTTTTGCAAACCGGCCGCCCTCTCTCTTCTCCCCCGCCTTTGTTTCAGTCTGGTCACTTCTGGACAGCATGGACACACGGCGACCTCCCGAGCAATGCCTCTTCTAGACTGTTCTTGGCAGTGCTATCTGGAGCAGCCCCTACGTCGGAAACCCCACAAGGAGTCCTTGCGTGGTACTCTCAGTGGCAGACCAAGAGACTGGAGGTTGAAGTGCCCTGGGAGGAAAAGGCCCAGAGATCTATTCTGGAAAAACAACACCGCCATCCAACGTATGTACCAGTGTGCTTACTACAATTGAATGATGGATTGTTATAAGATTTGTAAGAGCCCCCTCAATAAATGATTTATAAAACAGAAAAAAACAGCCATCAGAGACCTTGTGGAGCAGTTTACTCTGACACAACCTATGAGTCTTCATTTATTCGGTAGCGCTTGACCCCCCAAGTATTGAAGTGTGGTGCGGGGAGGGAGGTGGAGGAGGGTTAGAAGCAGCAGCAAGGATCTTATTTCGAAACTCCTTTAGGCTTGGTGATGTGTGTAAGGCTGATTCCTTATCCAGTGTGATCCATTTCAAGTGTTTCCAGATTCTCCCTAGTTTTTACATCCTTGTTGGGTTACCAGGGCGTGGGCTGAGAAGCCCCCGCGGGGGTAGGGTGACATTGGCCGCTAACCACCAGCTACTCCTCCTAAAAGTTGCAGGCCCAGAAGCCCACAGGGGACAGTTCTGTCCTGTCACAGAGGGTCGCTGTGGGTTGGCCTTGACTCAACGGTGGTGACATGAGCTTCTTCCACCCCAGCTGAAGCCTTATCATCCCTCCAGGTGGCGCCCTTGGGCAGGCCCTGTGCACGTGGCCCATGCTCACTCTTGCTCTCCCAAGGCCCACTTTGGGTCCGCTAGAAACACGCACCTTTTAAATTCTTTTTTTTTTTTTTTAAACGAACTTGTATGTCACAAAAGAATCCTAGTCATTTCGGTTTTACTTTCCTCCGTTTAGAGCCACTCAGACCAGTGTTTGGATCTGGTGGGTAAGGGATCTGGAGGTTTAAGGCTGACTCCTCTCTCTCTCTAAATAAGTTTTAACTTTTGATTTTGTAAATCTCTATATTTTTTCTCTTTCTTTGTGAAACATAATATTCACAAAACTCCAAATTCGATGTAGTTGCACAGCTCAGCTTCGTCGAATCGAATCAGCAACATTAGCCCATTAACCACCCCCACCCCCTTATCTATGTGGCTTTATATTATTCGTCTGTTTCCCACCCTTCTTCCACAGTTTCTTGTCTGTCTCCCCCCATCCCCGCCTCATCTCATCATCATCTTTAAAATCTTTTCCTTTGGGGTGAAGACAATTTTTCTTTTTCTTCATTTTCCTTTATAATAATGGTGGGTCAGTTCATGTTGTGTTCTTTATTTCCTTAGGGAGGGTATATGCACCAAGAGAGTGTTTGCAGGACCATAAGGTACTTGCATTTCTTTACATTTGTTTAAGGAAGCACCATACCGATTTCCATAGTGGTTGTATAATTCTATAATCCCACCAGCAATATATGAGCCAGTATTCCTGAGTTAGTTAATTGTGCCAGCCTGGCCGATAATCACATGTGGG